GTAATTTTTGGTTACCTTCCCTAATATATAATTTGTCCTACAAAAGATATACAGAATATCCCACACTTTTGGTTTGCTGGATAATTTCAGGTTGTTAAACATATTCTCTGAGTAACACATACTATATAGTAATATGTTGAAATACTAAAAATAAAATAACCAAGATTTATATTTTTGTAAATTATACTTTATATCCTCTAGACTGTTACATGCTTTTAACAAAAGCTAATAAACTAAAGGTACAGTAGTATCTAAAAAGAGTTGAATTGTCTTTCTATAAATGCATCATTACATTCTGTTAATTAGATGGAAACATGTAAATACATGTTAAGCTTATCATAATGCACCTCAATAGATTAAAGACAGAAGGGAATACTATGTTCATCTAGACCGACCTCCTGCATAGCACAGATCAAAGAACCTTGCTCAGTAGTTTCTGCACCATGCATTATGGAACTTCTGTTTTGAGCTTGGGAATATCTTTGAAAAACATGCATAAATTTGGCTTTAAAGATTTCATGTGATAGAATATCTCGACTGGACTACAAGTAGTTGTTCCAAAAGTTAGTGCTCTTTGTTCATATGCAGTGGCTTAATCCTAGGCTGAATTTGCTGAGCTTTAGCTTCAATTCACTGGATCCTTCTGTAACCTATTTTATTAGGTCCCTTTTATCTACTATCCAAAATACTTTCACTGTGTATTTTTAGTACATAGAGCAGGGTCAAACTACATTTTGGCTAAGATTTAAATAGATTCTTTGATTTCTTATTCTAAGCCTCAAAACAATTTCTCACAACTTTTTTCTGAATGTTTTCCAGAACTTTCATTAACTTTCTTTTCAAACAATGAACATCAAAATGGGACACAATATTTGGCAGTAGTTCCGTTAGAAGTCTTTATAGAAATAAAGTCTTTGCATCCCTCTAACTCCTGTACAATCCTCTGTCGATACATTTATGGTAGCCCTTGAAACCGCAGCACCCTAAGAGCTGATGTTCCATCATTGCGCCTGTCAATCCTCTTTCTCAGTGCTCCTGCATGCCAGGACACACTTACCATGTATTCCATTTTCATCCACCTGCTGTTCAAAAGCACAGGCAGATCACGAGCAGAACAAACTTCTGAAACCTGTGAGGCAGCACAGAGTGCAAGATAAGGAGTTTTTCCTCCTCAAGAGACAATCTAACCTTCTGCACTATCTCATCCTATTAAGAGTTGTATTGTTTAGGGAAAGGTTACTACACACACTACCTTCTGAAGAATAGTCAGAACTGGACTGGCTCCTATCCTGCTGAGGTGCTCAGTAACTTCTGCCACCAATATTCCATACTCATGTGGTGCAGATTCCCAGATAACAAAGGTGTGTAAACGTGGTACTTCCTGCTAACTGACATAAAAGCAAGATTCAGTGTGTATGGGAGTCTCTGCAAGGTTACTCTCACAGCAGTTCTTGCTAGTTCCTCCTGAACAGCTCTCAATAAGAAGTAGATAGTTCTAAGGCAGCTTGTAGTGACTGCCAGTTATGATTGCCAAAAGATCATAGATCCAGCTAGGCATTTCTTCTTCTCCCAAAGTACTACAGTGATTTACACTGGAACTACTGGGACAAACCTTTGTATACTGTTGCTGTTACAGATCTCCTCAAAAATGTAGGGTCTTGTGTTTTTATAAATCATAAGAAACTCAACTGGAGTTGACAAAGTAACTCTAATGCATAAAGAAGAATTAAAAAGTTCTCAGAAATTCATCATTTATTCCTACAGAACAGCCATAAGCATAAAACTTTTCAAAGTATCTTAAATAATTTTCATTTCTATTCTCTATGAAAATCTACCTTTTTCTATAGATCTAGTCTTGCTCCCATTTAGCACCAGCTCTGAACAGCATGACACATTAGCCTAGAGTGCTTATGTTCTCATCTATTGCACTTTATTTTTCTTAAGGAATCTTTTCTATAGCTTCAATTAGTCCTTGGGTACAAATTTTCTTTCCAAGATGTGCTGACGCAAGCAATTAGGAAAGATGTGATCTGTTATAAGGTCTATAGGACATAAGGGAAAATGCTACTCCTATACTCATCAGGATACCTGTAAAACCCTGAAAGGTTTAGTCTGCATTTAAAGGTTTGTTGGAAAAACTATGTTATTTAGCATGGGCAAAACAAAATTATACGTGTAAGTGGCATAGCTCTCGAGGAATACCCTTACTACACAAGTAATACAATTCTCTTATTAGTAAAGTTTATTTCACTTGGAGTTTAGCCATATTGGTCAATTCTCTAATGCAAACAAGGTCTTAAACCACTATTTGTTTAGTGGTTTAAGCTACTACTTTTTGGGTCTTTGGTATTTGGATGTCTAATCTTCCTCTAGAAAAGGAAACTGCATTTGAAATGGCACAAATGCAGTCAGCTGCTGCTGGAAGACACTGATACCCTTACTCTCTTGGTTCCAATAGATCTTTTGATTTCTATGAATATCCTATAAACCATTCCACTCCATGTTTAAGTTTCTAGAGAAGGTTACTATTGACAAACACTTAAAACAGCAGGTCAATATAACGCTACTAACTAGTCGTAAAAGAACTGAGGATATACTAATACAGGATGATTAAAGACAGAGAAAATAGGAAAACAGCTGATACTAGCCAGCAAACTGTCAAGGACATTTTTTCCTGAAGCAAATCCAATTTCATTCTTTGAGGCCACAGTTTAATTGCCAGAGGTAACAGCAACAGCTAGAATATACCTAGGTTTTTGTGGAGTATTTCAATTCACTTGCGTAAGGCTGCATAATTAAAAGAAACTACTGGACAATATTAATATATTTGTGTATCACATGAATTAGCAACTGTCTTACTACCAAACCTCAAAGAGCAGCTTTCAAACGGAATTGCCACTGAACAAAATTGTTCATTGTAAAGTTTCTGCAAAGCTGACACTTGGCCTGACACTATTTGACATCTTTATATATGAACCTGAAGTCTGTATATAACAACCTCTACAGCGTTTGCAGAAGACAGTATTTAGGAGAGAGGTATTTATGTAGATCACTTGATCTAGCTGCATTTTATGTAATCAAAATTCATTTTAAGGCAGATAGATGCAGAACTTGCTACCTAGGCACAAAGAAAGGAGGCTGCTCCTACCGAGTAAAAGCCTGCACCCTTGAAAGCCATTAACTCTTAAAACAATTTTTTGTGGATATCATGGATTTATGGCACAGCATGAGCATCCAGGGTGATGCTATGTAAAGAGAGCTAATTAAAGCTTTGAAAAGATACACACTGGAGTAGTGAACCACATAAGTAAAGGAGATTTTATTTCTGCATGTGGCACTGGTGGACTACCACTAGAAAACTATGTATAGCCCCAGTGTTCACCGTTCTAAAAAGACATTCAGATTCTGAAAGAGGCATAAAAAAGAAACAAAAACAGTTAGAGAAAATGTCTAATAGCATGTGACTAAAAAGGACAATCTGTTTATTTTATCAAAAAGCAAACTGAGAAGTAACTTGATTACACTGTACAAGTATTTTGATAGAGAGAAAATGCCAGCACTATGGGGCTCCTTAAGCCAGCCAGAAAGTTACAAGAGCCCCTGTCTAGAAGGTGAAGCCAGGCACAATGAAACAACAAATGAAGCATCATGGTTTTTTCAGTGTAAGTGATAATCTTTTAGAGTAAGTGCTACAAAAATTGAAGAAATCTTTGATTCTTTGACATCTTCAGATAAATTCTGGAGACCCTTAAAAAGTTATGTTTTAGTCAAACACAAGTAATTGGGCTCTGCACACAGATAGGAAACACAAAGGCCTTGAGTAAAACGTCTTGCTATGGAGGAGACCAGGATCAATGCCAAATAATCCTTTTTGAATTTCCACCATAGGAACATAATTAACGAGGATCTTGGATCCCAGTTGTCACTTGGACACATAAGTGAGTTTTTGAGAAGTTTGGGATCACTCTAAACACTGTGTATGCACTGCTAGAAAACTGGAAAAGAATGGGCAGAAAGGACAGTATCTTTTCCGCATCTTTGCAATGAGAATTTTTTAAATATAAAAGCTCATACTACTATTCAGAATTTACGGCACGTGCACAGTATGGATTGAGTTCTGCTTAGAAAAAATGATACATTAATAGTACAGTTAAAATATTTATGTATCATTAGATTAAATCATAATGCGTTCATTAAGATAAAAATGATATTTTTGTCTATATATAAACTAGGTTTTTTTCTTCTTCATCACAAAAAATTCTATCATCAGTCTTGTATTTTTGCCTTGGCCCATTCTTCTCATGGATAACAGTATCTTCATAGATAATCTTCTGTATCTTCACAGAGACCTTTTACTTTCTATGTGGCCTTAGAAGGCCTAGTTCTGTCTTCATTTTGAGGTCACTGAAATAATGACTAGTTGTCTTGGTCTGGATTGACCATCAAGAATCTATGGAATATATTACATAAGATACTATAGAAACAAGACTAAACTCCCATACACCAAAGGAATCAAACTGAAAATGGAGAAGCCTGCAAACAACATGAAGCAAACTTGACACAAAGCAGATATTTCACTGTGTACAAACAATAGCTCTTGGCTGATAAACAGAAAGAAGTTTTAAGGTTGTTTGTGTTGTCATGAGATCATGTCTTGCAGAATCACAGGTCTCCATCAAACAATTGGAGATTTTCTGATGGCATATGAAGGGACTGTAATAAAGATTTATGAGATGTTATTTACTAATAGCTAACAGAGTAATTTTATTCTAGATCTCTGTTTTTTAGTCGTGATGAAAATAGGGTAATCTTCTACGTCCCTAAGAAAGCTTCTCCCTGTGTTGGCAAGGAAATGATAGAAGAGTATAATTAAGCAATGATGACCCTAAAGTGAAATGTGGATTCTTTACAATATACAATGTTCTTCCCACCAGCCACATGTGTTTGTCAGATGTTTACAGAATCTTCATTAACTAAGAGCTTTGCTAGATAACAGAAGCTGAAGCATGGCATCAATGACTCTGATAAGGGCAAGTGTACAACCAATCTGCTTGACAACTGACAAGAGGCTGGGGTTTGAAGCAGACTGCAAAAAGAATGCAAGAAAGTGATTTGCAAAGGGCATTCCAGTTGTTTGCCTTCCATCTCCTTTCCTCTGTCTGTAAAGAAACAAGACTTTTAATCAGCTAAAATACCCTTGTCCTCTTGTCTCTCCACCAGAAAGTAAATACAGAAGAAATGCATTATTTCGGAGTATTAGCTGCACTGTCTGTTTTCAACATCATTGCCTGTTTGACAAGAGGCAAGCCTTTGGAAGATTGGGACAAGTTATCAGCTATGGGAAAGTCTGATGCACACTTTCATGATCCTGGGGAAGTGGAAGATGAGACCCATTTCGACTTTAAATCTTTCCTGGAGAATATGAAGACGGATTTACTAAGGGGTTTGAATTTGTCAAGAGTTCCCTCACAAATGAAGACCAAAGAAGAACCACCACAGTTCATGATTGATTTATACAACAGATATGCTGCAGACAAATCCTCCATCCCTGCATCGAATATTGTAAGGAGCTTCAGTACTGAAGGTAGGAGAAGCCCTAAATATGTGGATTCGAATTTTTAAAGAAGTACCTGGACAGTAGGTACTCAGATTCTTTTGAAATTCAGAGGGAACTGAGTGCCTAACTTCCACAGATTCTTTAGAAATGAAACAGATGAAATTTTTGGATTGTAGTCTTGCTCTGTAGTTTCTTTCAATCTTTAAAAAAATACAATTACCTTTAATTTTCTCTTCTTTGATATTTTCACTGTACAATATTCTCTTCTCAAACACATCAACTGAGATGATGCATTGAATAACAGGGTTTACATGAATAATGTTTCTCAAAGCTAGAGATTTGGAACTGAATTTTAATGTTAGAATGCAAACTTTTAATCATCTGTAATTGAGACATCCATGCTAGAGAGCTCTTCTTTCAGGTGGGCTCTTCACATATTTAAAAACCACAGCAGCCAACTCAGAAATGTGTCTCTGGATCCAAGCAAGGAACGGCAGGGCTTCCCCAAAATTCTGGGTTAGATGGAAAGATTTATGAGTAGTCAAGCTTGTCTCAACTAAAAAAATTCAAGATCCCTGTCTGTGTAACATTAAATAGACTTTTAAAAGCTCCATCAAAAGAAGCAGTAAAAAAGTTAGAAGGAAATGCAATCCTTGTGACAAAAATGAGACAGGGAGAATCGAAGCTTCTGTTTATACAAAAAATAGACATGCACAGGTAACAGCATTACAGAGAACTCCAAATGCACAAATTAGTGCCCCTAGTCCTGAAATGGAAAGAAACCTTAACAGTATGAGCTAGATTATAGTTTACATATCTCACTCTCCTCTCCAACTGCTTTAGTGGGTAAACATTGTGAAGAAGTGTCAACATTAGCCAATTAAAATTGTCCTAAAAACCAATCATGATTGAGTAATTACCTTACACTGACCATCAAATAGACATGAGTCAGTGATGACTTTTAAACACTACCAATCTGATCGTCCAGCCAAATATCTGCCTTTCCCAAGGCAGAGTTGCTGGTACTGCACATAGTTTTGCAGGGAAAAACAAAACAAAACAAAACCAAATCACACAAGCTCAGTGAGTCCAGCCTGGAACGGACTGGGACCTGGGCATGTGAGGTTGTTTATCACCAAGTCCCAATTTGGACAGACCCTGAAGCTCCAATTCAGGATTTTCAAGTCCCAATTTAGACAGATCCTGAAGGTTCAAATCAGGATTTTCAGAAACTTTTCTATTTCCCCAAACTCCCAGTAATCCAAGCTGCTTTCAAAGTTATTTGAAGACAACAACAAAAGCCTCAGCACAGCTAGTTCTTGGAGACACTTAAATATGCAGTATACTTCTCTGTATTAGGAGGGCAGTTCATCCTTTGCATGATTATAAGAGCAGGAAAATCATAGGGTTTTTCAGGAATTCTTTGTGTAAAAATCTCTTTAGGAAATTGTTAAATCTGAACACTCTCCAGATGCCTTATTTATGTACTTAATGCTGACCAGCATCATTCACAGCTTGTTCTAGGCAGACTTTTTATGCTCCCCTCCACACACTCACCTGACCATGCAATCCTGGTGAAAATACTACAAATACCAGGGACCTCCATTTCCTCTTTTCACTCCCTGACCTTGAAATTTGGCCAGAAGATGGTTTTTTTAATTATTTTTTTTTTAATGCTGGCTAGCCGTGCTCTTATTTTACCTCCAAAATACATCCTGAGTCTTTTAAAAGCAAGTTACTTGGACAGTCAGAAGCACTGTAACCACGTGTTTTAATTTCCTATTGCAGATGTTGTTTCTTTAGCTTCACCAGAAGAAAATCCATTTCAGAAACACATCTTGCTCTTCAACATCTCTATTCCACGATATGAGGAAATCACCAGAGCTGAACTGAGAATTTATATCTCCTGTCACAGGGAAGTTGGGTCTATTTCTAGACTGGAAGGCAACATGGTCATTTATGATGTTCTAGATGGTGACCATTGGGAAAACCCAGAAAGTACCAAATCCTTCCTTGTCTCCCATAACATCCAGGAATGTGGTTGGGAGATGTTTGAAGTGTCCAGTGCTGTGAAAAGATGGGTCAGGGCAGACAAATTGAAGACTAAAAATAAGCTAGAGGTTGTTTTAGAGAGTAAGGCTCTGGGTGGTTTCACTTGCGGGAAGCTGGATATCAGTGTTACGCCTGACACTAAAAATCTGCCCCTGTTAATAGTGTTCTCCAATGACCGCAGCAATGGGACAAAAGAGACTAAAGTGGAGCTCCAGGAGATGATTGTTCATGAACAAGAAAGTGTGCTAAAGAAATTAGGAAAGAGCAACACTTCATCTGAACAGGAAGAACAAGGAGAGGAAAAGGCAATCACTAGGCCCCACCAGCATGCCTCCAGAAGCAAGAGAAGCATTGGAGCCAACCACTGCCGGAGAACTTCCCTCCATGTGAACTTTGAAGAGATTGGCTGGGATTCCTGGATCATTGCACCAAAAGATTATGAGGCTTTCGAGTGTAAAGGAGGTTGCTTCTTCCCTCTAACAGATAATGTTACCCCAACAAAACACGCTATTGTCCAAACTCTGATGCATCTCCAAAACCCAAAGAAAGCTTCCAAGGCCTGTTGTGTTCCAACCAAATTGGATTCAATCTCCATCCTTTATAAGGATGATGCCGGTGTGCCCACTTTGATATATAACTACGAAGGGATGAAAGTGGCAGAATGTGGCTGCAGGTAGTACCTCTCGGAATAAGGCAGAAGAACAAGGCAGAATCTCTAAGAATAAGAATATCCCCTTTTTCTGCTCTGTGTAAATCTATACATTAGTGATGCAAATGAATATCCTTGCGAACAAGGTTTGGAGCAGGGTATGGGGCTGGTTGTTGTTGCTGCTTGTTTTAAAGGAAAACTGGCATTTAAAGAATGGGAGCCATTGTAAATAGCCTGCATTATATATCATGGCAAAGTGAATACTGGATTAAAGCATTGTGAGAATGAATGAACTATGCATTATTTGGCAAGAGGGATACAATTTTAATACCTTATTTCAACTTTTCTGTTTAATCAATTCTGTTTAGGTCACAAACTAAAGGATTTTCAATAGGGATTTAGGATGTCCTGTAAATGTTTAATAGGTATTGAAATCTAATTCTCTCAGCCAACCCTGACATTTTCAACAGTAAAACTCAGTAAACAGAATATAGTCTGCATGGTAAAGTCAGGAGTCTAAATCCTGCAAGCCCTTTCTTGTATCAGTAATCTCAGAGGCTTTTACAGGCAAATTATTTACCTCTGTAAGTGAAGATTTGCAGTATTCAAAACAGAAGAGACTCTCAGTCTTATTTCATTCCCAAATTTCCTTCAGTGGGTAGCAGGTGCCTTGGTTTCAGCTTTCTTATCCTCAGTGTCCCTATTTTTACCCCTTTATGGCACATACTTGAACGATAAGAAGTGCAGCCTTCCGCTTCTAAGACACTGTTTCCTAGGAGGACCAGCAGGCCTTATCTTTGCACAAAGATAAGGAGCCACTTTGACCTACTGCATATTCTTAGTATTTCTTTGCACGAACATGCAGTCAAAAGACATTCAGCCTTAGAAGCTCTATCCTGAGAGCAGGGGGCGGGGAGGGGGGCAGTTAACAGAGCTCAGCACTTTTGAAAAGCCCAGGCTACTTATTTAGAGGCCTAAATACGTTCTTTGGAGTCTGAGACTGGGGTCCAAATTTTTTTAAACTTCTTCTTAGAAGAAACTCTACTTTACACAGAAAAATCTTTCACCCCTTAGAAGTCTGGGAAAAAATGAAAATGTCTGTGTTCTATGAGACTTATACTGCTTATCATACAATAGTTCTCCTGAGTTCAGTTGTATTTTTACTAAACAAGGACCCTATCTTTCCTGCAATTAAACTAAACTTCCTTTGAGTCTAATGGAGATTTCGCCTGTACAAGCACAGACAAAGTGTCTTCTGTTGGTTTCAGGTGATAGGTCTAAGTGCTGTATAATGCCACCATAGTTCACCTCACTTCTACTCCTCCAACACCTTACACACACACACACACAAAATCTGTCAGAGAACACTTTTGATCCAAACACACAGCAAACTAGACATCCTATCAAAATGGAGAAGAATATCGATGAGGCAAAAATCTAAACAGTAGCTTAATGTATGGAAGCAACAGGATTTAAATCAATACATATGTTTTAAATTAGGGCAGCCTGTGGGCAAGACGAATTCATTTGGCATGAACAGGTCAGCTTGAAATCTAATACACAGTTTATTTACTATTGTTAACTTAATACAGAGCAAACAACAGGTGAGTGTGAGCAGGGCAGTTGTAATTCCATGAAGAACTGCTGGTTACGTCACAAACCGTGAGCACAAAGCACAATTCACCAGAATCCTTGGACTGATTTACAGGCTTTTCCTTTAGAACTGGGCTGCAGTTGGATCAGATCTGAGATCTAGGTCCATGCAAACTCCATCTATCCATAGCTGTGTGTCATTAACCTCTTAAGCTTCCTGTGGCAGTCCTCTCATTTTATCACTCCCCACTGGCTTCTGTCATCTTACAGTCATCATTACGTCTTCCTCCTTTCAGAACCCTTTGTATTCTCTCCCTGTTTTGTTTATGTCTCCTAAACTCATGACATTTTGCACAATTTCTCTTAATCAAGTAAAACAAACCGCCAAACAAGCCCTTGCTATGATCACATTAAAAAAGTTATTCACCCATGTGTCAAGGTAATTGTAGCTGTGTGCCCTTAAGTCATCTAAACACAAGGTCCTATTTATATTTTGACTTCACTGAATACATGACTTTGTCCATAATTAAATGAAAAAGTGGGGAAGGGGAAAGACTAGTTCCCACATGCTCACAGAGTGAAATTCTCAAGAATCACTTTTTTTTCCCCCCACATTTTGAAGTCAAATGTTGATCTTTGTTTCCCAAGCTTACTTGGAGGGAAAAAAAAAAAAAAAAAAAAAGCTTTATTCCCTTTGCCATTTTTGGCTCAAAAACTCAGACACTAGCCATGCTATCAGAATTCCAGAGAAGCTCTATAGATCCCATCCCAAAACCGGAATACAAGTTGCTTTTGTATTTCAAACAAAAAAAATTCATTGCTCTTCCAGCCAGCTTTAACGATCACATTCCCATAGGCTTAATATTTTGTTTGGGACAATAGTAAAATGAAACATGAATCTTTCCACAGGGTGATGATCAGGGTCAGGAAGAAATGAGAACCCAATAGTGACTACAGATGCTACCTACAGCATGGCTGAAGTGTGTGTCAAATTGATGTTTGGTTTTACCTTGTAAATTTAGCAGCTTGATTTATGTAGTTTTGAACATTCAGATTTAAACAACTGCTTGAGTTCCCTCACGTTTCAACTGCTTTAGGATGCAACAAATCAGTCAGGTGGCCAGGATGTGCCAGACAGTATACAGGTTGCAAAGAGCAGACAAAGCACCTTGTCCTCTGCTTCAAGCTGGGCCTCACTGGACACTGAGAAAACCCCTTCTCATCACTGTATTCTGAACATCGACGAGCAGCTTGCTGCTACGGAGGAGCAGGTTGAGGCTTGTGCATTGTGCAGCAGACCCACAGTTAAAATTAAAACTTATTTGTTTAACACAAACATGTGGCTGGAGTATGACCTCCTTCTCAGGCCCATTAGCTACCTGTGTAACAGCTCTGTAGCATCAGAATCACCAGCTGCCTCCACAGCCAATTTTAAGGCTACCCTATAGCACTTCAGTCTTAATAGATAACCATGGTAAGCTGGTCAGGAGATATAGCTGTCACTATTTTTACATAGGTTCCCACCTTGTCTATGTACACAGCAGGCACAATGTCCTCTGATCTCATCGACTCCTCTGTGCCATGTCCCAACACAGAACAACAGCTGATGCAACTTAGCAATTAACAACACAGCACCAGTGATCACTAAAAGTCAAAAATATCTCCATTCTCACTATTCTTTTCCACAGCTGAAGAGGCAGTGGCTTCATGGGAATCTGGAGGTGTTCAGCTGGTATCTGTGCAGACACCATTATACTGGAAAGATCCTGACAATATAGAAATGTTAAGCTAGAATTGCCAATTCCTGATATTCAGAATAGTAAGTTTTAGGCTGCCTCTCAAGGAGACTTACTACTTCAGACACAATTGTGCTTTAACACAATTAATGCTGCCCCCAGACCACAGCTGATTCTTCTCTCCAGGTTCCTCAGAGCCTGGCTGTTACCACATAGCTAAGGCGTGTAGGTGCACAGCCATGCACCACGTAGGTCCACATAGGCATACGCTGTGAGGTCCAGCAGGTATCAGTACCTGGCTGTAGCTCCTCACAGGCAGCACTGAATCGAAGCTTGTTACTGCAAAGAAGAGCTGAAAGGTATAGGTGGGAACACTGAAGCTGGCAAAGCCAACAAGTTAGTAAATGAACAATATCTGTGAGGCAAGACCCTATCCTCAAACAGCTCCAAATCCCCTCTGGCTGTTCTGAACAGATAACAGGACATTGCATCTGACTACTAACCACTTCCCTCCACCTGGTGTTAACTCCTCAACATACCATTTTTTGTGTGTTCAGCAGAGACCAAAACAGGGCAGGTCCCTCCACAGTCTCTAGAGAGCAAGGGGCTCAAAGAGCTCTGCCCGTCCATCTGCAAGGCTGGAGGGTCTAACTGCAAGTGCCTGAGGTGCAAATCTCCTCCGTGCCGCTCCGGGTCTGACCGAGGCCTACAAACCGCCTCAGAGCCATCTTCGGCCTCTCTTCGGCCTTCAATGCTTTCTGTAAGCCCTGCCTCGGGGCCGCAGCTGGGCTATGAGCGGCCTCCAGGCTGCCCACCGCAGCACCGTCTCTGGGCTGTGAGGGGCCTCCGTGCTGCCTCGGCGCCATCTTCAGACTGTGTGGTGCTTCTGCACCAGCTCTGTTCCTTACTTCCCAGCCGTCTTCACACATTTTCTTACTCTCCCTCACATGGTACCTTAGAATCTCTCAACTTAAAGGTGCCTCCTGCCGTCTCCCTCTGGGCTACCCACAGCCTTTTTTGCCCTCACTGTGTCTCTGAGCTGCCCCACTACCATGTCTGCACTGGCTGCTGCCTCCAGGCTGCCCTAGGAATGCTTCATCCTCCATGCTGCCTCAGAGCTGCTCCTGTTTCTTCTTTGTCCTCTCTCTTAAAGCTCCTGCTGGACCATCAGTCATAATTTGGCTAAAAGCCTCACAGGAGAGGAGAATGGCTTCAGTGTTGCCCTGGAAAACGGGATGCCCTGAGTCAGTCCCTTCACTGACGTGTATGGTTGGGATGGAGCCTGGCCAACCCTCTGTTAGCCCTCACAAAAGCCTTGACACTGGCCCAGCACACCAAAAGAGCTGAGCAAGCAGCGTCCCAGCAGCCTGGGCCTTAGTACTGGGCTGGCAATTAAAACTTCCGATTCAGCAACAGGAGACAACCCTAGTTCTTTACAACAAACTACATAGCTTAAGATGCCAACAGCTGCTCTGCCAGGACGTGCTGGGCACTTCCATCCTATGTCAGCATGGCAGACAACGGCACCAGGATGTGTTTGACCAGTCATCAGAGGTGGCAGGCCCTCAGCAGCACAGTCTGCGGGAGTTGAATCAGTTTGGTGGCAGCTGTTCATGATGCCTGGCCTCTAAACAAAGGCTAGCGTGGATGACTGGAATTCTTACTGTTTCAAATAATACCCTCAGGATAGGAGAGCTCTTAATGCGGTATTTAATATTCACTATTTATTATTGGCTAACTCTGTTTGGTGCACCATGCTGAACAAACATGTAAATCTATCAGAAATGTAGAATCTAGAGGATACAGACAATATTATGCAAACAAACAATAAACCAATTCTCCAAGGACTGCACATCAATTTCCCCTTTTTTTTTGAAAAATTACTTACCAAAATTCAAAAAGTATGTTCCTGAATTAGTTCAGGTTGGATAGCTGCAATGCATTTTCCTGAAGCCCTC